GGACTCATAAAAAGTTCATATTAGAAATGGAGAGGTATGAAAAAAATTAGAAGTGCATTCAATGATTAAGTATTTATTGATGGATTTTATACATTTCCCGAGAATGATAAATGATTTTACCGCGGCAAATGATTCTTTTATGCCCGGTTCCTATATATAACGAATCGTCATTGTATACGCATTACTATCCGTTTTTCAACTACCGAATACGAATTGTAGATACCGTTCCTATAATCATGTTCTTTACGAACGTCCGTTAGTCATTGAAATACCGAGTCCTCTTCATTGACAGATGAGCGTTTCTTTATAAGTAAAATTGAAATTAAAGATAACACAAAATTCAAGATAAAATAAGTCGGATTTACATACAAATTATTCTTTTAGTTTTATTAACTAAAACTATGACATCGCAGGCATCTGCGTGATCATTTTTCCCTTACCAAACAAATTGAATGCAGCTAATACCATAGAAACGGAACGTTGTAATAGTCAAGAGCGTTGGCATTGACGTTTGACATCCGTTAAACAAATATATATTTTCAAATAATCAATCTCGATTCATCTACAATTTATAATTTACTGATAACAAGATACGTGTTTGTTATTGCCTACGACATCGAAAGAAGTTGACTTATATTTAGAAGTTATTGTTTGAAATGGATATTGTGCCAACAAAGTGGAAAACACATGTATATATGGAATTACCTCTATGTCTAAGCTTCTGCAAAGCAAAGGTAAAAATAATTCTATATTAACAGTGTTTATGTGTCTCCCATACAAAGGTCCAATTTCTAATTTTGTAATAAGTAGAAATATAATTGCATAATTATTATGTGACTTATACATACATATGTAGTTGGACACCTTTTGTCATTTCATTGTGTATGGAATTACTGTAACATTAAAACATGTGCTAATGACCTTTCTTTATTACAGCCAAAGAAATTAAAATGAACCAGGTGACGGACGGCTCCAATGTTATTTGCCAATTGCAAGATACTATGATAAAACGACAGAAAACTCTGTCATTAAGCTTAAAATATTGAAATAGGAGCCAATAAGGAAAATATTGATTGTAATAATAATATTTAGTTTGTAGTTTGAATAAATGTCGTTTTTTTATTTAAATGGTATGGAGGCATTGAAATGGTTTGGTTTTTGGTTTTTTTGTGCTATTTAGGATGTTTCGAACAGTTGTAAAATAAAACATTTATGTTTTTTTCGTTTTATTATTTTTCATAACATTTATAAGAGAACTAATATTTATCAGTTCATTACTGCTGTTTATCTTGATATCATCATACATTAGTGTAAACTGAAAAATATAAAAACCTTTGAAGTAACGACAATAAACAAAAAAGGAGAAGGTTCCTTCTTCTTGTTGTACATGTACTACCTACTAATACATCATTGGATGATAATGTGGTTACATGGATAAATATTCTGCAATCATTGTGTATCTTTCCGTAGAATTTTTCATTTTATCAACATTACTTGTCACGAAGAACAAATGTTATGGAGCACTTCTGTAACTATTAGGTATAACAGCATGAACTCGTAAGAGCCACCAAAGGAAATCGCGTTTTCACACTTCGAAACATCTAAAACCAAATAAGTTTGTAATTTATTTTCTTGCTGCAGATAATTAATTAAATTATAAAGTAACTGCTCAGATGATTATTTATCGAGTCGATATCTTACTTGGTATTCGTAAGAATCTAGCAACGCTAAATAAGTACATATAATCCACTCCTTCTCTATTATATTTTGTAACCTCTATTATTATCTTCTTCTATCTTACTTAATATTCGTAAGAATCCAGCAACGCTAAATAATCCACTCTTTCTCTATTGTATTTTGTTACCTCTATTATTATCTTCTTCTGAATCAGTTTTACTGGAGTTTGATATAATATCAAATGCTTCTTTATCACTATCTAAACTGGACATTTTAAGATTTAAAAGCGAAATCAGTGAACTTCCTTTAAAAATTCTACTCTAACCGACCGACATCGGCACGAAACCAAATGACATTACGAATAGTCATCTTGACCGTCTACCGACGGTTAAAATATTTATAGGAACACCATAGACTGTCATCTCCATACAATACGCTTACCGATACCCTCCCATCCGTTAGTTGCAAGCCGTCAGTAAGTTGCACGACGAGACGTTGTTTATAGGAACGGTTTTAGCTTACGAGCCGTATATAAAACTACTATTCGTAACTAAAACGGATCGTTTGTCAATTATAGGAACCGGGCGTTAGCCGATGATATTCAATTACAAGTCAATTTTACAAATAGCATTTGCATTGCATGCATTTTATTCAGTTGTTGCACGGCGTGCATGTATGCATAAAACACGGGGTTTCTTCGTACAACTTTTTTGATATATGAGAAACAAGGGTCATGCTTCAGCACGATACGTCAGTTCGATTGGACTGATACTACGGTTTCACAGAAAACTGGCGTGTAACAACAACAGGAGTCCCAATCTTTTCTCTCCCGCAATCCCTAAATCTCCTACACCCAAATCCCCAGAAGAGCGGGAACGCACTAGTAACTCCTCTGGTATCCACAATCGGCGCCAATAGCTTACCATCAGGTAATCTGTCTGCTCGTTTTTTGCCCCATTACATAAAAAAAAACAATCAAGAAGATTTCTCGACGACTGCCTCGTCAAGGTAGTTTATGTAAAGTATAATTAAAATAAATTGGCTTTTCTCTACCTAACCCTTGTATTACCTAAGGCTATACACATTTAGTCATGTTTACGTAATGTAACATTGATGAAGAATGGAAGACGAGGGTAAGGGAGCAATTCTGGGCTCAAATAAAAAGAGAAATTAAAGTTTTCTATTAGGTACTCCTTAGTAATAGAAAACGATAATTTCTCTCTGCTCCTCAAGATCTGGATAGCTATACTATGTATCAGATAAATTTAAATATAGAATGTTGTTTGTACGATCTATAGGTATATGCTGCATAACTTTATCGGTTACTTGTGTGAAATTGGTGAAATTACCTATGTATTTATAAAAATATATTTCACCAAACAAACAAATTAACATATCGGAATAATAGAAAAAAAAATTGACTGATTAATTTCAAAATTCTGATAAGTCTGGTGCATGATTTATTTCAAGAACCTATACATAGTTTAAAAATTAAATATTTATCCGTAATCCGTTAATATTACATTGGCTTTGAAAACGATTACTAGTTTCACAACTGTTACAATTAATTCACAACTGTTACTATTAAAATAAAATACGAAACACACCTAAAACAAAGTCGATTCAAATATGAGGATATTTGAATCATTTAAATGAAAAATTTAAAACAAAGTCGATTCAAATATGAGGATATTTGAATCGACTTTGTTTCCGCAAACAAACAAATCTACGGATATTTAAAATCCTTTAAACAAACATGACCTTTGTATAAATAATGGAATCCTTTTAAACATAATATTTGTTTAGGATACAACCATCGGATTTGTGATATTTTAATATTGTTTCCACTGTACCGATTTCCTTTTGATGTTAATATCATATCATTAATCATGCTCGCTCTTCCTCGAAAGAGTAAACAAGACTATATGACACATGTATAAGTAGTACGTAGACTTCGCTTCATAAACATGAATAGTACAACGAAACGAATGAGCCTGGAACTCACGACACAGGGAATCCTAGTGTGATTTTCAGGAATCAAAGCATTATTTGTATGATTCTTATATTCTTGTTATTAAAACACCTTTCTAATGGAAAACTAAGTAATTACATTTGCCTTCTCATTTTCAGAAAAAAAATTATGCCAGGCCAGCAGGCCACTGGAATTATCTCACGGCCTCAGAGAAAACGCGCTTGAAGAAACGTCTGCATTGTGTTTCGTTAATGTATAAGGTTACCAGGAGACCCAATGCTTCCCTTCCATCCTCGATCCCTAAATTCCCAATCATCAAATTCTTAACAACTAAGAAAATGCATATGCATGATTGCATAGGAGTGGAATTGCATTCTGCATCAAGCCTGGATTTTTGTCGCTGAATAAAAACTAAATATTTTTTTGTCATAGATTTGCGCAAAGTAACGCCTGATTCTATAAATTATAAGAAAAAGCCGACAAACCACACCGTTTACTTCCCTAATATTCAGGGAGTTTATGTGAGGCGCCGATTGTGCAAGGTGAAGGTGCTGCCGTCTTATCACGTGGCATGAAAAAAACCTGTGTTCTGTTGGACGCCACTCAATCAACAAACAGATATCGAACATGATAGTAACATAAGAACACATACAAATTATATTTGTAAATTGGTTCGTTTTTCTATTGATACAATACATGATCAAAGCTTTAGACAAAGATAAGTTAGAATTAGGGGACTGAAACTACAGTATAACAACAGTCTATATCTAATTACAGTTTCTTAAGAAAGTCAATTTTTCCTAAATCTATCTCCTTCTAATTTATCTAAATTAAGTCGTGTGAAACTGATGGACCTAATCCAATTGAACGCAAACCCTAGCTTAGCGGGATACGGCCTGTTCCGTATGAGTGCGTATTTACAATCGATTTAGCTGAACCCATCCAGCTATCGAATCAATTGGGTAAAACGAGTATATTTTTGCCAAAGTAAAATAAATTAAGTCCTTTTGTCTGTATAGCAAGCCGTGTAGAAAGAACTTCTTTCGACTGCTCTGGTATGAAAACAATCCCATACTTTTTTTTAAAGTATGCAGGAAGTGCGGGGTACTTTTCATCTCATTGTCATGATAAAGCTTCAAAACAGGATTGCCACATAGAAATATCTGCGGACTTGTGCTACTTCTGAAAACTTAGTATTCATAAAATACAAAAAAAAAATTTGCCTGTTGCAGTCACGGTTGTAGATTCTACAATTTTCCAGTCAAACATTCAAATAATGGGTCAATTAGAAACAAAAAGGTATATCCAAATCTTACTTTAGAAATAGAAAACACTATTCATAGGTACTTACATCCATGCAATTATTGATGTTGTTAGTTATCTTGACATCAACCTCCACTGTCTCTCCAACTTTCAGAGCTGGTGGTAGGGAGAAGTCCAGCTGGATTGGGCGGAAAACGTTGATCGTCCGAGGTGCAGAGAATCGAAGACCATGGTTTGAAAGGGATAGAGCCCAAAGGGACCAACGACCAGCTTCTGAGGGCGCTGAGATTGTCACGCCGTCCGTGGATAGCTGGTTTCTGTTGGAGAAAAATTTATTTAGTGGTATCTTATAATATTAGAACAATTCTTACCTACTTTGGCTTATGGTAACAGTATATGCTTCTGGGCAGTCTAAATATACCAAACTACGAGACACATATTTTTACATACACATTATTTTTTTATATTTCTATGAATCAACTCGTGACCTTGATGAGGTACTGTAAATTACTGACAAAGCAGGATATTTGGCGAGTTTTTTTCCAAAAATCTAGTAGTTAGTAGTTGTTGTCAATACAAAAAAAGTAAATAAACCAACTAATTTTAATTTCCTAACGCTGTGACGTAGTGTTCTGGGGTAAAAATGACTTTTTAGTGTAAGTCACTTTTACTTGTAAGTCACTTTTAGGTATGAGTAAAGGTTTGTGAGAATAGCGACGGAAATAAAAATGACTGACAATTAGAGAAAGACATGTTTAAGATTTATAATTGGGGGAAAATTACTATTGAATTACTTCGTTGTTCTCGCCAACAAGCGATATTTAGTGTAAGTTACTTTTACGAGTAAGACACTATTTCGTGCAAATCACTTTAAGGTGTATATTACTTTTACATGTAAGTCTTTTTTACGATTAAGCTACTTTTACAAGTCACTTTTACGTGCCAGTAAGTCACTTTTTGAACATATATAGGTACTTGATGTGAACAGAATAGATGATCGTGAATATTAATTTGCCGTCTATACATAAACAATACGTATAGAGTGCATCCAATTTCGTTCAAACCATGATGTTAGTAGAGGTATATCGTTAATTATTTCATACTGTAGCCTTGTTTACACGATGGAACAAAAGCTTTTCAATTTTGTGTTACGCTGAATTTATAACATGGATGTAAACTGGCCAGTGTAAGTTAATTAAACTGAATAATGAAATGATTTTATCGGAAAACAGTGTTGGAACTAATTTAATATCAAATACAAAGGTTTGATTTATGATTGATTGTTTAAAAACCTTTTTAGAGTGGGTCGTGTATTTAGTGTTGTGGTTTTGTACGTGGTCGCATGGTCTGTTTTAATTGATTCGTTCTGTTTGGTTTGATTGGTTTATGATTTATTGGGGTAAATGTGTTGATAATGTTTTATGTATCTAATTTTTGACTTTACAGTTGGTGTACCGGCTGGATAATCAGTTGCTATCGAATATATCGGATTCAATTCGCATAGGTAAGTACTTCTTACTTAATATTATAAATTCAAAAGTTTTTAAAAATGTATCGATGTATGTTAGTTATTCTTTTACACAAAAATGGTTGGACCAATTTGGTATGTAAATAGGTTGATTTACAAACAGTAAGAAACAGGCTACTTTCTATCATCATACCACGCCGGCGAAACCGTGGACGAAGTTAGTTTGGCATAATTCCGTATGTGTTCTACCAATCTACCAATTAATAATGACCGCACGGTTGGCGAGGTGGCTGGACAACTGGCTGCCGCGCAATGCGCCGCGGGTTCGATTTCCGCGTGGAACAACACTTTGTGTGATCCACGAATTGTTTTCCGGGTCTGGGTGTGATGTAAATGTGAAATTGTATGTTTGTAAACGCACTCACGTAACAGGAGAAAAACATAGTGTGTGTAAGATTTTTTTTTTCGATTCGGCTTGTTTTTCTATGCACTGTGTTTGCAAAAGCACCTATGATACAGGAACACCGGCGAACATCGAAATATTTTGTTTTCTCTCCATTACCTTTGCGTTGTAAAACCTTTCAAAAACATGATGAACTATTATTGCATATTCACACTGATGTAAATGGAAAAGAATCCATAAATACTGTAATACTGAACACAAGGAAATTAAACTTTAGATGAATGAGTTATTGACAAAAGGGAATTTGTATTTTAGGAACTCTATTTAGGTTTTCGATTTGAAAAGTTTGACTTTCATAAGATTATTTTTGTTACGCTTGTATGACGCATAAGTAGTTTCCTCGAATAACAAGCATACAAGCGACAAGAGTAAAATATTGATTTCTTAAATAAAAACGAAATTAGTAACATTTTAATGACATTCCTCGTTTCTTTTAAGCTATCATCACATTAACTCAATTTCATATTAACAAAACCGGATTACTCTAATACAAATAAAAAATAAATCTAACATGAAAAATATAAGTTAAATAAAGAAGCAAAATTTTCAAAGGAAACCAGTAGAACGCCAAGAGTCGCCCTAAAAATATAGACCTTTATCTAAAATTCAATATCAAATGATGTCATTTGTCACTTTGATTCTCCAACAAACGATAAGTTTCACCGCATGCCTCAAGGGGTACGCAAATCTCGAATGCATAAAGTTAAAATATTATACGAGATATCGCTTTGTCTCCGTCGGATGGCCGGACAGCGGTCGGACGACGGCCGGACGATGACCGGACGCCGGAGAAACGGACCGTTTGTCTTGTTGTCTACTCATGACTTATAACAGTCTGATATGATACATTTGACAGGTACTTACATAGAAGATATTTGAGCCATGTACTGTATTACATATTACATAATACGGGAATAATAAATCAATTTGAGTGAACGTCAAAATGATATTAGTCTGGTAATAGAGTTTGTCATTATGCAGTTTCCCAGTCTCTCTAGGCTAGAAGGGCTACACAAATAAGGGTTTACTGTACCCCTACGCAATAAGACGAATTTCAAGCCTTCGAAAACCGAAAATCACAAATTATTTTGTTCGTCCAGAAATCGAGATGCCATATACTTATTTAAATTCTTTTTAAGAACCTTTTCTATAATATTAAATTTGGCCGCCTATTTCGATGACCACAACCAAACATAGAAAAAGAAAACACTGAAACAAAATCCACTAGCAAACAAATTTCCGTAATAGGAAAGTATTTCTACGTATCTTGGCTAGTCTTCGTCAGCGATTCGTCATTGGTCCACATAACTTTTGCCAGCCAACAGACGAATCAGCGAATTGGATTTATGTAAGTTGACTTATTTATTACTATCGAACTCCGAAGTTCAGTTCGGTAAGGTTTTCTCGCGATTTTTCCTCTTCAAAATTCGGAAACTTAGTTTGTGGTCTGTTGCCTCCTTCCCATATGGAATGGGCTGGATGGTCATATCGGTTTATATGTTTCTTTTTCTTTGTTAATCTTTTGGCAAGGTAAATTTGTTAAGTGCACATTATAACACTGTGCTAGTATTTTGTACAATGTTTACGACGAATAATTACTATTAGAATATATAAAAATTACTAGATTTTTATTGATTAATAAAACAAGAATAAGATTAATGAAACAAAGGTTTTAGTTTTTTTCTCGGTGATAAAAAAACCTTTTATATTCGACGCAAATAAATATGAACAATTTTCTACAAAATATTCGTAATTGAATTTTTTTTAAGAAACTTATTTTCCATTTGTCTACTCAATATATATATATATATATGTCATCATCTTTTTTCTCGACACCTACTGTCATTTTTCGTATAGAAGATATAATAGTGGCACGCATGAATTTATCATGAAATTGAAGATAGGTATTTACTCGACAGATCGTTTTAACTCTAAGTAATTTGTACATAAAATGAAACAGAATTCTCGGAATACAAAATAATAGACGAGAATAATTTCAGAAGGAATTAATTTCCAAATTTTCCGAGAAAAAAATAACGAACATCACTTTACCTCCTGTAAAGTTACCGAGAAAATGTTCCATCTAATTTGATATTTATAAAAGTTCAAACCTTTTATACCTATGTACCTCTGTATTTCTTAAAAGGATTAAGGATTGAAGAGATTTCAGGATTATGTATTTTAAGCTTGTTTTCATTAAAACTGCGTAATATTTCGGCAAAAAGATAATGTTTGGTAAAATTCTTAGAGATCGTAACAAAGAGGTTTTCAAATGGAATCCTATTGAAGCTTACTTGTAAAGTTACTAATTAATCAAATAATTTACAACTAAATCAAAGTGGAAGGTCTAAGGAAATCTTTGCTGATTTATCATCCGAATGTACCTAATTCTTTACGAAGTAGAAATTCAAAATTAATTTATATAATTCATTATTAGGATTTCTATGTTTTGTACTGAATGTGTCGGTCAATATTTATCTATTAGTCATTTTTCATTTTATCTGTTTACTGAACCAATAATAATTATTTGAATTATCATGCTTTAAATCAGATATAAAATGTGTATTTATCATCATTCTGTATTTTCTACTTCCATTTATAGTATAGTTGAATTCAGCAATTTACAATTCCTCCAAATAAAAAAATAAAAGTCAGTCTCAAAATATAAATCTTCTTACGTATAATTGAAGCATTTCCACATCCACAATCGGTCGTGCGAGGCTGGAGGTACCAGGTGTGCAGGAGCGTGAGGAGCTGGCGCGGTTCTCTGGCGGTATAACACGCCTCCACCACAAGCACCGCCGCCGACAAACAGTGAGACGCCCGCGGAAACAAACTCGGGGCCCGGTGCTTCTTCGTGTTCTGGAGCCCTGGTAGGTAAATGTACATTTTGGTGAGATCATTGATTTTTTTATTAGTGGTTGGTATAGCACGTTCGATGTTGTTTATTAGACTGTAGAATTTACAAGGAAGTTTTTTAAAATAATTTTGAGCCAAATTTATTACAATAACTATAGTGAGACATACTAAATTAACTAAAAATCGCGGGTTACTCTTGAGGAAGAACCCCTCTTTGGTTCGAAAATAGTAGGCCTTTTCTGAATTTATACACGTGAGTAACCCGCGATTTTTAGTTAATTCAAATTTATTTCACCAAGTAAATAAAGAAAAAAGGTTTTCTCGTCTTAATAAAAGAAAAAAAACTTTATGAGATCGAACCAATTTCTTGATTACTTAGATTTACTAAAAATAAGGATTATCTAGTAATGATATCAGATTATCTAGGCTCCTTTTATAAATTTTGGCTTAAATATATAGGTTTCTTTTTCTGCTACAATCAGGTAAATTTCTTTTTCAATAATGTTATCTCCGACCCTGGGTTGGACGAGAGGAACTTTTAGACTCTTACACTTGGTCTTCGAAAGGCCGATTAATGTTAAAATCAATTTAATCTCTTGTCAAGTCATCTGATTGGTTGACTGAATTATCAACAACAAATTAGATGACTTGACAAGAGATTTAACAGGAGATTAGTTTATTTTAGCGTTAAATAGCTTTTCAGAATCCGAGTGTTACTGACTAAAAACCACCCTGTATACTTGTAGTTACGAATCATATATTTGTTATTTGTATAAGTCTATCGTTAATTATATGGGCCAAGTATGCTTGAACTGAAGCAATAATAAACATAAATTATATCTACTCTTAATGGGCAGATTAAAGACACAACCATATAAAATAAGTCAGCAGCTATCTCCAAAATGCGGAAGAAAAACAAAATGAACCTGACTTAGCAAAAAACACGTAACAGGAAGAAATGGAAACGAATGTCTATCGCGCGATCTCAATAACAAAGGGAACTGCTCATACGCGTACATTTAGCCAAATGAAAAGGCATCAGATATTTCCTTAGACAAGTCGACTGAGAGATGAATCGGGGGACATAATCCTTGCCTCAGCTGTGAGCGGAACTTGGAAATAGGGACGAAAGTTTGAGCCGTACTCGCTGGGGATTCGAGACCAAATTTGAAGAATTCTAACCGAAAAAAAGAAATCTTTTTAACACCTTAAGGTAAAGATTTTGAGTGGTTGATGAGCCGTCTATGGTACCTTATATTTAGCTTAATATATACTTATTATCACGTCCGACGCTTTGAACTGTTACAATCAATTGTAGAAGCATGAGCGATTTTTTTAATAATAGATTACTCAAACTGGCGACGTCAGTGATCTTTAGTCAGTTCTCTATTAAGATAATTCCTATTTCACCCAGGGTAAGGCGAGAGAGAGTGTCAAACTCTTTGCCTCGTTGCGCTTGCCCCGCAACCCTGGCTGGGGACTTTATCCTTATAAAAATTGCTATAAAAATTCGTAACATTAAAAAACTCGAAAAGTAAATGTGATTTATGGCTTAACTTCTGTACCGGTTGCACTATAATTTGTAAATTGTCAGCAACATAATATCTAATTTCTCATACTAGAACAAACATGCTGGACTATAATATTAATATACCACGTTACCAATATACATAGGTATATTGATATATTATCTTTGAAGAAATTATAAATGCGTTGGGTATAGAAACATACATTCCTGATTTTTACAACAACACATCAATTAAAGTTGATAAAATTTCAGTAGAGGAAATACAAATAAGGATAATTTTGCGCAATGTAAAGTACACGATATCCTGTGGTATGTTTCCATAAACGAAGATGAATTGTCTGACGATAATAGATGTATTTCGCTTTGAGCGCTTTCAGAATTGTCACGATATTTAATTGACATCCTAGCACAAGCGACGCGAATTGTTTCAACGTTAGCAGTATGTTTTGGCGAAATTCCGCCTCATACGACCATGTAAGGTAATGACAAGGGTAATTTATTTCCATGATGTATGCACGCGAATTTGGTTTAGAATCCCCACAATGTGCATTCGTGTTTATGTCGGAATGTCTATCAGAGTGGAACGGCTGGTAATTAATGATATACCTAAGTAATGCCATGTTATTCTCTATAAAATATGCATTATACAATTGTGCATATTATATGGTTATATTATGGCAAGTACCAATGTGACTTTTACCGAATCATACGGTAAAGGTAAACATCGTGAAGAAACCTGGACTTATAATCTCTAATTATAAGTTTGAAATTGCCAACCCGCATTGAGCAAGCGTGGTGATTAATGCTCAAACCTTCTCCGTGTGAGAAGAGGCCTTTGCTCAGCAGTGGGCACTAATGGGCTGATGATAAGATATGGTTACGATAGCATAAACAAGAAGAAAAACGATTCCAATTTTTGGTATCCGCGGCTAATATTTATTAAGTGTAGGAGAGCCATGCTTTGGCACAAATGTATCGGCTCGACCGGAGTGATATGGCTTTACAGGAAACTGCCGTGAAACTACCACAGCGTTGTGATTCGCCATGTGAAGAAGGTTACCCGACACCCAATCCTACCCCTTCTTCCATCTCAGAAACTCTAGCACCCAAAAGGCAAACGCACTCGTAGTTCCTTTGGTGTTGCGGGATCTATGGGCTTGTAGGCCGTCCTATCATACGGATATAAACTGGTTGGTGGATAGAAACGTGCTGGTGGTGGTGGAACGGTTTTTGACTACAAAGTCGTTCGTAGCCCACAATCTCAAATAGTATACAAAATGTTACACGATAAGAACTTTAACAAAGAATTTTAGCCAAAAATATTAATTTATGGAACTAAAAATAAGAAATAAGTAAATAAACGAAAATGAATGAACAATATGTATACTAGATATTATAGAATTAAGTGAGTTTTTGCATTTTGTAGAATACATTAAAATAAGCCCACCTAGGTAAAAACGTATCTAGAGACTTTTTGCAGTTAATTAGTTCTTGCACTAAGCCGACGATACCAAATCTGCCTTCTAAAATACCATGAAGCCGAAGTCATTGACCCTTTCATGTACAGGGTGCTAATAAAGGGTCGATAGCTAAAATGGAGGTTTATACAAATATACAAGCGGTACATTATATACTTGTTGCTCAAACTAATAATAATATCTATCCTGTTTACTAACAATATTATGCTAAAACTTTATACTGAATTGAAGGCCCAAGTTTGAACAATAACAACGCTGTTTAATTGTTCAATAATAAACTGATGTTGAGTTCCCTATCAAAGTACGGTTTCTTTGTCCGTTGGAATGGGGTAAGTGTAAGGAAGCCGTGAAAGGAAGAATGTTAATTAGACCTATAATTTGATACTTGCCAATTATTATTGAAAATAATAGGCCGAAGTTTAAGAGTTTGAGCCTTATTATTATTGGACTAAAACTCAAAATAACAAGTGAAGAGTGAATAAGTCGGCAGTCTACCACCGGCACCTATTGGAAAATTACAGGCATGGAAGTCTACATTATCTGAAGCTTCTGCCCAGGTAGACTTGCGAAGTTCGACGCCGCTTGAAAGCGAGAGGATATACTGCTGAGAAAGACCTCTTCAAGCAAAGAAACGGTAAAAGAATAAGCCCTAAGTAATAGGTTTACTTAATTTTCTCACAAAATTTTCGTTCGTATGTCAGTATGGTCTTAGTAATCTTAGAAAGTTCATTTCACTTGGAAAAATCATATTTGTACTTGACCTTAACCCCCGGGGCACCACGGTACTCGACATAACAATATTTTTTGGCATTAAATTTATATCTACTCAATAAATAATTGACATTGCACATTTTTGACAACCCTGTTACTAATACATAATACCTCTTCGGTCTTATTTGTAACGCGAAGGATTCAACAAAATTAAATTGTCGGACAAAATTCATTCCATTCAATTTATAAAATTAAATTGCGAGATTATTTCATTTCAGACATTCGACTGGGGGGCTGCGTCTACGTCGTGTTTGATGTGACATGCAATAATGAACTTAGAAGACGGTGTTGCAATGGATTTTTTTTTGAATTTTCATTGGAGACTTTTGGTGTACTTCTCTTTTTTTATTATGAACGATCTTTTTTATTTTACTGTGATCTTGTTATTTGGAATCAATTTTATGACTCTTTTGTCAAATGCCTTTTGTGAAACTTATAACAGTTACTAACAGTTATCATTTTGACAGACACGTAGTATTTAAAAAGTGTTATTTTTCTTTATTGATACTTATGCTGTAGTCAAGAATCTGTATGTATTTCTTAAAGTAAAAATTAATATATACTTTTACCTTAGATAAAAATAATCTACACTGCCATTGGCTTGGCACTTTTCTATTTTATGGCTATCATCAAGGTCAGCCAGATAACAATTTTGAAACAGAAATATTTTCACTACATAGTATAAAACAAAATCGCTTTCTTTGTCCCAATGTATGCTCAAATCTTTAAAACTACGCAACGGATTTTGATGCGGTTTTGTTCATAGATAGTGATTGAAATCAAGATTGCACCCTTGCAAAGCCAAGCCGGTAGTTATAAATAAATACAATTAATCAGTTGACCTTTCTAAGTCTAACCCTTCGTCTATTACAACAATTTAATTTTAATCTGTTAGCAGGAATACCTTACCTCACCGAAGCCTAGTGACACCCTCAGAAGAAAATATAGTAACTATTTCAAAGTTCAAATCCAATTTCAAATACTTCACCGTATTACTATCCCTGTGACGTCATATCCTAGCTCAGTACAACACGCTGCAACGCTTAACTTGCTTTTCCCAGAACGCAGTTATTATACCGAGTTGGTTGTGTTATTCGATATCTCGACCAATAACGAGTTCTTATTCGCATCACTACAAGCTGTCGGGACCATAGACGGGGAAATTATAAGTTTTTCCGCTCAACTTTATGAGACTATCAGGGGATTGCGGAAATTATAATTTTCTTCGTTTATTTTTGTGTTGTGTTAACGATGTTCATGACAGATGGAGCGAAAGTATATTTCTTGTGTTGCGTCTAAGGTTATAATGAAATCGAAAACAAGAATATAATCGGTGGTTTAGTTAAATAATCAATTACTTCCTTGTTTAATAAGCTTAATAGGAGAGTTTTTACTTTTATGCTTTCAATCGTGGTAATATGAGACCCAACATTAAGACGATATGTGCGCGAACGCCAGCGTTCATTTAGGGTTCCATAAATTGAATAAAGTTTTTTTGTATCTTTTGTTGAACCAGAGACATTATAAATTGTTTTCTAATAACACTATCGGCAATATTATATAGTTATATTTTATTTAAAAAAAACTGTTTTATAATGACACCGATTCACTATTACGTAAAGCTTATTGTTATATTAAAAGGGTGTGTATTTATAATAAAAGTCTACTTACGTCTGATGAGGATCAAATCTTGCATCAGGTGGCGCTCGTGCTCCAATGAGGCACATTGTAGAGTCTGGTGGAGCAAGGACTCGAAGCTGTAGTGCTGCTCTAGGATACCACCATCGTCGTTCTTCTATCGCCACTGCCACCTAGTGAGAAAATATGGAAGTTGATACAGAATACTAATCAATTCATAAACTGAACCGTTGAACAGTATGGAGTCTCAGGCTGCTCAAAAAATTTAACTTACGTATTTTTGCTATAAATCCATCCATTTAAATGCATCCATTGCTATAAATGTAAGAGTTGGTGATCGAAAGTGACGCTACAGATAATTTTGTATAAATACCTAAAACTATTCATATGAGCAATGCTTCGAAACGAATGGACTATCTCAATTGGATTGATATAAAGGTTTCACAGATCCCATACCGCCTAAGTGTGTACTCAATACACAATATGTTTACTGTATTCCACAATGTGAACATTTCTTAGTATTTGGAGTTCCAAGGCTGAATACTCCAATCCCAAAAGGCCGGTTGGCTACTAATATTTGTAGTTGTTGCGAGTGTCAATTATTAATGGCCTAGAAAGAAACAAACATTCTTTTTCATTAGTAACTTATAGAACAACCCGAATACCAATCAACATCCATAATGACTTCTACAACAATCGAAACTACACTAAGCCGCACATAAAACACTATGGCAATAAGATCACACGCACAAATCTATCCGAGAAACTAACAGCACCAATAAATTTAATGTCCAAGACCCAGTTAACACTACCCACTACGTATGACCGTACGCATTGGAGCGATATCGAGAACAGTGGAAATTACTAGCGTTCTTAATTGCGTCCTTTACAGGCAACGAATTGCCTTTCATTAGGGACCGTTGATTAAGCGTCGTGTAATAACAATGGACGTTAGCGTCATTACTTTTATAAAATTGAGATGGGTAGTGTAAAACATGTTGGAACTTGACTTGTTTTCTTTGTAGGGAAAATAGAAGTAGGTATATTATTAGATAGTTAATTCGTTTCATGTTTCTAATGTCCGTCCGTTTACCGGCAAAGGAACGGATGCAGTGTAGTACTAAATACGCTCATGGAGTGAGTTGAAAGTGGTACAAACAAATCTTTTAATTAATTTATATTCAAAATCATGCATTGGATCAATTTAGTGGTGTGATTTGGTTTCTTTCCTTTGCATGGGTGGCCGGCTTTTTGAGAGTTGTTAGGGATTGGATTTTTTTTTTAAAAAAACTTTGCCCTACATTAGGATTTTCTGCTGTGTCGTGGGTGCTGTTACAAACATACAATTTCACATACACATGACACCCAGACCCGGCACAACAATTTGTGGATCACACAAAGAGTTGTTCCGTGCGGGAATCGAACCCACGACACGTTGCACGGCAGCCAGTTGCCCAGATACCGCACCAACCATGCCGTCAAACTTTTTAACTTTTCTATCGTGGTAATTCGAGACACAATAGTTGCGCAAACGCCATTTGCTTCAAGTTTGCTGAATTAAATTAATACGTTACATTCACATTTTAAACGAAGAGGCGATAAGACAGCCTTTCTGTTGCCTGAGAAGAGAGGAATATAAACTGTGAATTCCTTTCCTTTGGTTAAAACTTATGAATGGAATGTTTGTCTAAGTCTTCGAATCAATATTATTATCCAATCGGGTTGCGACTTATGCGGCGAATGTAAGCAAAATGATGTACCACAGCTCGGCTCACAGTAGAATAAAGAAAGGGGGGTTTGTAGTCGTTTAAAGTCTGATACTCTTCTTGGCCTACTTAGGGTGGTAAAAGACACTGAATGATATTCACACCACTCTTTAAAAAGGGGCCAAAAACTACGATCATTTTTCAGGAGTTTTAAGTGTGGGAGAGCCATGCTTCGGCACGAATGGGTCGGCTCGACCGGAGTGATACCACGGCCTCACAGAAAACCGGCGTGAAATAACCACAGCGTTGTGTTAGCCGTGTGAGTGAGGTTACCGGAGGTCCAATCCTTCCCCTCCCCCAATCCTTCCTAAATCCCTAAATCTCCAAATCCCTAATCCCTAAAAGGTCGGCAACGCACTCGTAACTCCTCCGTTGCGAGTGTCCATGGGCGGCGCTGATTGCTTACCATCAGGTAATCCGTCTGCTCGTTTGCCGACATATTAAATAATAAAAAAAAGAGTTCATCTAATAAAACTCTTGAGATATAGTATTACCATTGACCGTCCTTTTACAAATCATTCGAGACAAGCTGTAGCCCACTTAACGGCCATTTAACTTAGTAACAAGCCACGCCCCCTTCTAATAAGTTTAGGTATTTGAATTATTTATGGCTACTGGTTGATATTTGCCGTTCCATTAAAATGTCCTATAAAAATAATTGGAGGGGATCCATTAAAGAATTTGTAACAAGAAAATGTTGAATAAGTGGACCGAGGGAGTATTTACGTTAATTAAAGTTAAGATGGCTACTTCTACAGGAGTTTTAATATTGTTTGTGTTTTTAAAAATGTACGCGATGTTTGATATTTGTAATTTCGGTTTCAGCTTTTATGAAGGATTTTGTAGCTGCATTGGTTATGTATAGAATATGAATGAAAAAACAGTTAATAACGTTTATCATCAACCAAAAGTGCCCACTGTTTAGCAAAGGCCTCTTCTCACACGAAATAAGTTTGAGTATCAATTACTGCGATCGCTTAAGCCGGATTGGCGATTTCAAACTTATATGTATGTCCGTGGTGTCCAAATAGTAAAAAAAACATATAACTCGGAAAAAGTAATTTTGGTACATGCCAAATTTCGAAAACGCGTTCATGTGTGCCTACCTAACCTGTGGACAATGTTGAAGTCAATAGATCCACTTATAAAAACATGACCAAAAATTATTGTTAAATGTTACATGTGTGGTGGAACAAAAATAAAATATGAGAAGGAAATTATTTAAAGAACTTTGTAAATTATACTGTATTCTTTTCGTCATTAAGTTTAAAATAAATATTATATATATTAAGCAATTTCCGAATGTATGTAATTCTAAATTTTCTTTTAAACTTATAAAGAATTATAATGAGAAACACATTACTGTGTAATAACGTAATAATTTTAATTCTTTGTAACATTCAAACACAAAGTTCAATTTTAATTAAATTTGCTCCCATACAAAGGGTGTTGTCGACAAAAAGGGCTGTCACACACAACAGGATGTGACTGTTTGTAGGAAGGACGTTTCACTTGTGCAAATTAAAATATCGGTGGTTGACTAAACATCGTTTGCAAATCGTGAATTTGATATCTTCAAATAAAATTTTATATATGAATCAATGTGAATATCTGTTTATTTGTTTGCCTTTTTTAATATCCAAATATTAAATTATTTTTGGAGTAATTTTGATCGACTCTCTTAATGACTGAAATAATTATAAAGTGTTATGTTAATATTAGTTTTTTTCGTTATTTTTGTATCTTATATTATGATTGATTCCATTCAGATAACAGGTCTCCTTTACATTACTTCTGCCTTGCAGGAAAAACCAAGAGTATCACTTGGGATACGTAAAAGGAAGCTAAAATTAATTTAAAATGTCCTGGTTGCTTGGAGGTTATGGGGTGATAGTTCGAAACCTCGCAAGTCCCGTGACTTTACGCTTTGCAAACGAGTAGACAGATTACGTGATGGTAAGCAATGGGCATCGGAACACCAGAATAGTTAGCTTATTACACCAGAGTAATAGCTTATTGGATTCACAAATTGGGGAGTGCAGGGGCAAGTAAAGAATTGGGCCTTTGGTTACCTCACTTACATGGCGAAACACAATACTGGTAGTTCCACGCCGGTTTTCATACCACTTAATAAAAAAAAATATAACTTAAAATAATAATATAATTATTTGTTCAAATTGTTGCCATAATTAATAGTGTTAGACTTAAAATTTCTAAAATACGTAGTAAACTTTATAATTCTCTTATTCTTCTTCAACACTTCTAATGAACATTTTGTAATATGTTTAAAGTTACGTAGCGAATAATTTAATTAGTCAAAGCCTATTCAAACTTTACTAGTCCTTATTTTATTATTTAAAGTCACGTGTTTAATCATTAAATTAGATAAGTACGTACTTTTGTTATAATTTGTAAGAGAAATTTCATTATAGCTACAAAAATTTTATGACGTAATTAAATTTAAATTTCGAATGCGTCATAAAATATATTATTATTCATGAGTAAGTACTTAAAGGTATGGGATAAAAAATATTATTTCAACATTATACTTCTTTTAATGTTTTTAACTCCACGTAGGAGTTCAAAAGTCGTCTTATAGAGTTGGCAAAAATCCAAATATTTCAATAAGTTTTCACCAGTCTTGCTAAGCGGGGGTTGCAGTTGCAAACACAATAATGTTATGTGGCCCGGCCTGGAGTAGGAAAAGGAATGGGGTGGTTCAATCAGTAAGAGTCTGACACTCACTCTAGATCTACCCACGAGAGAAGTCATTTAATGAATAAATTTGTGGTGTTTTATAAGGTCTAGATAAGGCATGTCTCGTTCCACTAGACATCGTATTAGAAGAAGGATTTTGTCTGTAAGAGATCGCCTTGCGTAATATTGCCACTCATTGTGCACTCAAAATGTATAATAAGTCCTATTTACAATAAATAATAAATAAAATTTTAAAATATAAAATAAGACTGTTCGATAGTAATGCTTCCGTACTGTCGAATAATTATGAAGTCTTCGTGGAATATTTATAATAAGTATTTATATTTGTTTTTTTTTAATTCTTATTTCAAATTTATGCCACCTGACTAATAAGGTCGTCAGTCAGACAAAATAATAATGAACTGCTATGCACATATATTTAAAAAAAAAACATAAAATTCTTTAAAAGGAGCGATTGAAATAAGGGTGGGGATACACAAAGTCAACAGAGTACTAATTAAGCTTGGCAAACGGTATTCCAATTTTACGCCAATTGAATGATCAAAGGGTCATATACGCTGATTTATCATCATTATTACGAACCATGCAGGTTTATTGAGTAGTTATAATTGAAGCTACACTGTGTGGTCTGGATGTGAAAGATTAATAGAATAATTTATTTTATATTGAAATGGAATTGAGGTCTAGTGGTCATATGCATGATTGGGCACATCCAGCTAATGATTTTACCTCATTATCGTAACTTGTCAATATTATTTAATGCGAATATATATTTTTTTCTGTAACGTTATTCAATAATAGTTTAGGAATTCGATCAATTTTCATTTTTTACGATTTTGCACAAAACTTAGGAATTGTTACATTAAAACCTATTTTATGTTGTTATTTTTTGCTTTTTTTCGATCTATGATTTTTTAATTATTAAGAATCGTCTATAAACGATGTTATATACGATTATATAGTCTAGTATAATAATAGCCAGTCTAGTACCTACGACAGGACAAAATAGTTTAATTTTCTTTTTACATGTCACTTTTTCTCTTTTTGGAATACCCACAAAAAATACATTTTTGTGACTCTTTTACAAGGTTCATGTGAATTTGATCAACGATCAAATTCATGAGTTCTGGGTATTGTGATATGAGTATTGGTTTTCATTTATGTGTTAACTAGCCCGTATACCTATTACAAGCAATTATAATAATAAAAAACGAACTTAGATCGTAGTAATAATGACAGGGTATAAAATCAGTTGCTTAGATATGAAAAACAATATCGGACAAGCATTTATATTTTTTTGCAATTAAAAACTCAAAGCAAAAATAATAGAATTTAAGATTAAAAGCGAAAAGTTGTTACGTTACCGCCTAGTATAAAATTTACAAATACAAATTTCGTGACGTCACACCATATTTAACATTCGATTCGATTTCAAGAAAAGAAATATAAATAACTTATCTTTTTTGACATTATATAAGACGGGCAATAATAAAAATTTAACCATCACGCCTACCTATACAAAGACTTTACGTCCGATGCTAATATGACCCATACAACGTCAAATAAGAGCAATGTATCGTTCTCTAAGTCTTACGACTCCGCTCGCCATGTTTCCCAAACAATTGACGGCTATTGGTGCATTTGCAGCTGTGAAGTGCTCTTCAATGGTGACCACAAACTACTACACGTTCGAAGCGCCCTCTAGACAGATGGGTTGAGTACTTGATGAATATACCTGGACTTAGAAGCTGGTCTAAGTATCTTAATTGAAGTTCTAAGAATGCCAGAATACTTACGGTAGTTTCCATCTAGTCAAATTTTATACTTTTATCCAAATGTCAAAAACGATACTTTTCTATGAAATTTGTATTAAAAACTGAGTTGACGTCATAATTTATTTGCGTCAAATAGTTTTCTAATTTCTTAAAAATAAACTGTGTGTATCGTACACGTAGGTACGTACGTATAGTTATTTACACGTAGACAAGTATAACAAATAACTATTTTTCGATATATTATTGTATTGAAACGTCAAATTAATTTATATTTGACCTAAGAAACTACCCAATTGTTGGAAGTGCGTTTTCTGAGCAATGCAAATAGAAGGTAATTTATGTAGTTATTTCTACAAAGATGTCCTGAGATATGCCAATAGAACCATATGACACCTTTCTCCTTACAACCGTGTTTGCGGCCATGCAAGCGCAATAAAGAGGTTAGGTAGTTTTAGTCAGTAATAGTCTTACAGTTCGGGAATAATCATTGGATCATTTACCCACTTCAAAATAATAAGATATTACTTGATTCTGAAATAACTCATAATATCCCTGTCATCCCACCCAGGAAGGGAGTAATAATTTGAAGACACATTTTATTTTTAGGGAGAACCTCAAAAAAAGTGTTTTCCTTTTACTGGAAATATTCATAAAACTCTAAATCTGTATATAAGTACTTGAAAATATATAAAAATAAAAATGGTTAGGACGAAATGTAACGAAAGTCTCAAAATTCAAAACAATGCAGACATGACTTGCTGAATTTACGTTTCCGTAACATCTACATTCGAAAATAAAACAAAACAAAACGAAAACGCAAACGAGAAATCTGGTGGTTGAGCGCCATACGTGAAGTTGCGGACAAGCGGCCGACATTCCAATACCAAGGTAGGATTTTTACGGCACGGAATTCACTACGGATTTGTTAAAAGGAAATCTTTAAAGTCTTGCGTTGAAAGAAAGCTCCTATTGTTGTTTTTTTTTTTAAATTTGGATCTAGAGAAATGCAAAAATTTAAACTGTAAATCGACATCACCATCGTATAAGCACTACTAAGCAAAGGCATTTTATGTTTGATTTATCGCCGCGGTTTGTTTCATGTAAAAGGACGATTTCTAACTTAAAATTTGAAATAGTCAGCCACCAAGATATAAACTGTAAAACATGAAGTGTAGATTAATTTGGATAGTAGCAATTATATAAATAGAATATCAACATATTAAAAGATTAGCCTTGTAAAATAGCCTGAAAATGTTTATCTGAGGTCGAAAATAGAAACAAAAATCATGAGCATTTGGTTTCATAGGGATCTAAAAACTGCATGAATGTTTTTGTACGAAAAAGCAATGTGACGTTATATTTTGTGTACGTCAAATATCATACTTATTAAATTCTAATTATATAAATAAATAATATGAATATTAATATAATAATATAAATAAAATAATAATAATGAATGAAACTATGATTATTTTAAAGTATTTTTATGATGAAGTATTATTAAGTAGTATTATTGACTGGCAAAACCCGATTGTTTTTCATTGAAACCATAGACAAATTTTAAAAGAAAACCTGCTTTTATTTGAATATTCTAGCAAATATATATACAACACACGTTTTCATCCCCTATTCTATATGTACATACTTAACTAAATAAAGCTTAAAGTAATACAAACAAAGTATGTTAATTCGGTTTAACCCGACACACATCCGAATCTATTAGTCTACACGTGTACCTTGTTTCTGAGAAATAGATATTTGGAGTATTTTCGTATTTGTAGTATTTATTTACCTATCCTTTTCTTATTAATTTGATATCTTACATTAAGAATAGATTCCGCAAGCAGCTATAAAATAGCCATAGCCATTCCAGATTATATTTTTATTGCAAAAGGTAAAGATAATCTATCTCTATGTCAAATTTCATTCAGATCAGTCAGTAACAAACATCCATGCGTACTTATAAACGTTGATTATATTAAAAGGATTTCGTTTTGTGTATTTTCGCCTTTTATTGTACTAATATTTTTTCACCCAATACTACGACAAATGTTTTTTTTTTGGTGGGTTGTTAAATCAAAAGTTACTTAGTTGACTAAGTAACTTTTGCCGCCATGGTTGAGGTGAGAGAGAGAGAGGAGTATCAGGCTCTTACTGAATAAAAACAACCCTGTTTCTTCTCCTGCTCTAAGCTGGTTCCCTAGATAGAGATTAACATGAAATTTCCAACAGTGATTGACATGACATTTGATACTCAATATACTACGGTATATTGAGTATCAAATGTCATGTTTAAGTTAAGAGTGACTGGTTTTGGTATTAACCTGAGCTGCGAACCTTGTCTAAACCTAAATCTACTACGTATACCTTTATACTAGACTAAGAATCATTAAAAATGTACTTTAAAACGAAAACGATAATGCTGTGTATCTTTCGTTGGAGTTCTTAATTGAATAAAAATGAAAATAAAATGATCCCACCACTTTGTATTCAAAAACAGTATTTTTACTATGCTTCATAACATTGGAATCTATTGTGATGGATCGCAGTTATGTGTAAAGGAGAAGGGGACTTCTGAGCCTACCAGTTCGATAGTTGAAATATGTATTGAAAAAAACCGTTGCATTTTTTAAAAGAAAATCTCAAAATATGGTACCGTGTTTCAAGCCAGGACGCGATAAAATTTAAATTAAGATTTTGATACTAAATAATCGATTAAATAATTCGTGAATAACTGGCAATCGGTTGTTATGTAAATCTGAGGATTATGTATTAAAATCGAATAACTGCGTGTTGTCATTCTTACCTCTTTATGCAGGAGTCGAACGTGAAAGCTGGCAACGTCGCTGACTGGCTCTCCAGCTTCTGTGACGTAATAGACGAGAAGAGAACTGACTGGTGCCATGTCTGCCGTCACTGGGAACCTGAAAAAAAAAAACTAAATTTAAGTCACCTAGTTTTATAAAGTTAAATTAAATGTGAAAAACTTTTTTATTTTCTGACTACCTGACTTGAGTTTTTAAGACACTTTCATTTGTAATGAAATATGAATATAAATCTTAGAATCTGTATTGTGTGTATAACAAAATTATACGTAGATTAAATGACTGTATAATATTATGATACCATTGAGCTGGTTTGGAGATGGAATTAGGTGGCTTATCGTTGTTTTGGGCTACCTTGGACGACCTTGTAAATGTATCGATTTTGGATTCATAAGATGGATCATTTTCTCTATTAATGTGAGTATATGATTAAAAGATGTTTTTATTTTTATATATTTCTTTCACTTGCTTACGCAGTATAATGAGAACAGTATCGTAGTATCCATAAAATTCGCTCGAAATTAAGATAATTTTATTGTCTTTTCGACAGCCATTCGTCAAACTAAATGATATTACGCTACCAATACGATGTTTTTATAGAAAAAAACCTAGTCCAATTGCAATTTCAATTTTTTCAGCTTTGATAAATAGGTATATTCGAATAATTGTTCCAAGTTCCATCTTTAAAAACAAACAATAAGATCAAATTCAAATAAAGAATAGTTTCATAAAACTCTCTGTGATTTTAATGTAGAAGATAATTCAACTGGCACTTTTCGCAATAAAATTTCAAGTTTCTCTTACGTAAACACTAAATCACTAACCTGAAGTTGGAAAAGGAAGAAAAAACTCAAAAATTTTAACATTAAAGCAATTTGGAGGTCAATAAAATACACCTGTGCACTATATTTCACCTTTCCAGCATCTTTAGATTGTTTTTCTGACGACGCATTTTCAAGAAAACGCTTATATTGCAACATTGTGTAAGTGTGGGAATGCTATGCTTCGACATGAATTCGGTGTGATATCACGGTTTCACAGAAAACTGACATGAAACAACCACAGCGTTGTGTTTCGCCGTGTGGTTGAGGTTACCGGATACCAAAGCCCATCTCCGAAATTCAAAAGGCCAGCAACCGCTCTTAACTCTTCTGGTGTTTGGTGTTGACTTTCATGGAAAGCGCCACCGATTACTTGCCATCAGATAATACCATTGCCAGATCACGGTCTCATCACATAAAAAGTTAATAGCTTCTTTTCGCCATTTACATTATAAAGTAAATTGATGAAATGAAGCAGTGGTGTTTTATATGGCGTCTCAATTTCTGTATTTGTTTAACTGTTTCAAAGTTGTATAAATTTTTATGTAGCAAAAAAGTTTTTACAAAAATATAATTTAATTATTTGCTATAAAAAATCTTTTATTTATTTTAGAAAAATATAATATAAATTTCATGTTTTTTTTCCCGTTTTGTAAGTGTACGGCATAAATTGTGGTTTAACGACGAATAAAATAGTATCAGCACAGATGGGAATTTAAAATATGGTGTAACATAAATATGCGTTAAAAAGGCAATACTTTAACCTCAGCCTCCGCTATTTTGTTACAAAATTGTGCCATACAGTTTACATAATATTCTATGAGACTATAAATTTTGGTTTGAAGTATAAAATATAGTATATTATGATGTGTACGTTTAAACTTAAATTAATCGATATTGCAAAATACAAAGAATGATGATGAAACTTAAATTTGGAATGACTATTATGTATAATTTTTTAAACGATAGGTTCTAGTTTAAAAGTAAAATGTAAATGCGATGTTCGGATCAAACCACGGTCAAGCATTAGGTCTTCATATTTAGTAGCGCTAGGGCCAATCAAGGTAGTCACACAACAGAACACAAAAAGGTAAACAGAAACAAAGAAAGCCCTTAATCAAAACCAAACCATAACTTAAGATCAAATTCGTAATAAAATTTCGTACATAAACCCACCTCGGAACGGGGAAAGGCCCAAAAAATACCCGAAACATTTTTATCGACTTGGAAGCGGTTATGTAAACAAAACAAATGCCCTCTACGTGTACTTGGGTCCCGATATAAACACGAAGGACCTTTGTTTCAACGCACTTGTCAGGTTCAACACACACAAATCAAAAATTTCTCCCGACAATACCAATATTTGTCGCTATAAATCTAAGCCTGTTTTTCTCGGTTCCAGAACATTCGAGTTGTTTGGTCCCCGAAATGTTTATTGGACGATTGGTTTTATACGATGTCCATTTATAACATTGGTAGTTGACCTAAAAGCATTTAGTGTTAAGACTAACGAATTTATAGCTGGTGTCGTGACGTCTAGACTATTCTAGGTTATGTTTATTATCCTTGATTTATGTCTGATTTTTATATTGAACTAGATTTTGCCCGCAACTTTGTTCGCATGGAATACCTAGTGAATTCCTGCAGATTTTTCTTTCTCAAAATTTCACACAAATGGGATCAGTAGTTTAGGCGTGAAGAAAAAACAGACAGACAATGTTACTTACGCATTTATTATATTAGTTTGGATTTACATTTCTTTGTTTGTTATTTTGATCCAGATTTTTATTGGATTTCATTATATTGTGCTTGTTGCCTAAGTCATAAGCCTATTGTTGATTTTCTGAAATTGTCAGCAAGAGCCCGGAGGTAGATTTATGGTAATGCGCTCGTTTGGTTACGAAGATATTCCTGGAATAGGAACGTTGCGAACATAATGTTATAGTGCTGTACGTTACGTACTAGGTAGTATGTACTTTATCATTAAGATATACATCATGTTGTTCATCGTTTGCAAGATAAAATTACCCCTTTTTTGTCAGGGGAAAATCTTCAAACGACTTCTTCCGCCCAGGGTAAGGCGAGAGAGGGTGTCAGACTCTTACTGACTAAAAACCCCCCGTTCCGGCCTCTGGGCCGAGGCCGCGGTGACTCATTGCGCTTAACCCGCAACCCCGGCTGAACTTCAGCCCGATAGGGCCCCGTCTGTGGTGGTCTATTGGCTCTTTGAGGCGCGCGCGGAACGCTTCGCGCCGTACTCTCGGGTCTGATTCTGGTCGGGCTGCGAGCTACCCTTATTCGCTGAAGATAAAAATTACCCCTGAGTTTACGACTGTGAATGTGGGAAAACTTCTGACTATCAAACTGCCTTGTTAAAATTTAGACAGTGTAACGAAATGTTATGAAAAAGTCCATCAGTATTAAATTTACAAGAGAAACCAATATTCAATTTAATTTTTGCAGTTACGGAATTGCTCTCGAAACCGCTTGGCCTCCTGCTCATTCACTGAATAACAGGAATTTCGATATAAAAGTTATTAAATTTAAATTATGTGGAAGATTCAGTAGAGCTTGCCATAAATGATTTACATTGGGATACGCGTTGTTAAACAGCAAATGCATCGATTACCGCAAAAACTGATAAATTTTTTAATTAATTTTCTTTTCGTGTTAATTTAATATGCAGGTATTTTGATTGGCCGGGGTCGTGGGTGTGAGTGCTAATATGACACTACCCTAGTTCAAAACACCAGTAAGAGTATTTTGTATTTTTGTCCCACCCAGGACGAGACGGTGTTTGGTGATCCCCTCCTTCCCAAAGGTTTTTGTTCCTTATTATATGGGACTTATTTTTCACATTAAGATACTCATTACTCTGAATAATTATATTTCTGGAAATGAAATTTATAAAATAAATAAATCTATAAAGTAAATTTGTCTCCGACATTTTTATCAACTTGATTGAAGTATCTACTTCATAAAGTATAACTACGCGAGTCGAACTTCGAAGGGGAGTGCAGTTGTATTTATTTACTGAGTTACAGTAATTAGTTAAGTGATTAATTTCTTTCAAACAGTGAAGATCTTATTAGAGAAATTGCAAAACTTCGGACAAAATTAAAAAAAATATGAAGTATGTAAATGTAGTAACGCTAATTAAATAAGTTTTCCCATACTTAGAGATGATTTACCGAAGACATACAAAATAAGAGGCCAAAATTCAAAAAACTAAGCATTGTTACAAACCAACATTTTTATCGAAAAGTGCAACTAGCCAGTATCTTTTTTGCCAAAGTAAATGGCTATCATTTTTCCAGCAAAAAATCCTATAAAGCATACATTCCCCATTCAGTTGATTGTATCGACATACTCTATTTTTTTTTTACCCGTCTCTAAAGTGCATAACGACATTTCGACGTCCTACATGCCTGACGGACGTTTTTAAAACGTTGTTTTTTTCAATAAGGGAACAATCGACCAATTTGCCGTTATAAATTGCTGTTGATTGGACATAGCCTTTGATGGCGTACGTTTTCTTTTAATTTATTTCTGAATTCAATTTCGAAACTGTTTATTACAATTTTTAAGTGGGAGTTGATTGAGTTTTTTTTTGTTTGTTTCTTTTTTGAACCATATTTATTTTTGTTAACGATGGAACTGAGACTAGTATCAATGTAGACTTTTAATTCCCAGAAGAGAGAAAACTCATGTACAGTATACAATAAAGCCACTTTTAAATTCTCTGCTAAAACCCATCCTCCCTAAAACATGAGTTTAATAATAAAAATGAATTTTGTTTAAAACATTTGAAACACAAAATTTTGGAAAGTGCTCATGTTTTAAACAAAATTAATTTTTATTCCGCATTGAATTTAATCTAAGATAACTATAGATGTTGTCATACTAATAAAAAAAATACTCATGCACTATCAACGGTTAAAAGCTACTTTTAAATTCCCTATAAAAGCGCTTTTTTCCGTAAATACAAACAAAACCAAATAAAAATCCTTATCCACATTTCAGAGTTCGAAGAAACGAACAAAATTTAATTTATCAACATCGCTATTCGTGCAGTGAAAATCCTGTCACACCGGTTTCCAAAACTTCATGCCAAGCTAATGGGTTGAGCTGGGTCGTTTCAAGCCCTAAGCTTACTGCTAAAGGATGAGGATTAGCCATACCACATCCGAAACTGCAGTAAAACCTAGTAGTGTTATGCCAGCTATCAAAATCTGTTTATAGTCTTAAGCTCCGTAAGTATATCATCTCTGAATTATG